GATACAAGGCGACCTCGTACACCATTCAGCCTCTGACACCTGACTCAGCAGCCCAGGAGTTTCAACTTCTGCTATTTTGCTGTGTGTAAACAAAACACCTTTCCATCAATGCCTAGGTGGGGATTACCCATGAATTCGCTGTATATACAGTGCAACCATCAGACAATGTCTTAAGTATTTGTCTGTAGTGATCGCAGTTTCGTTCTGATATCGAATGTCTTAGAATCTTTGTGCTACTTAGAAGTGAAAGCTGCAAAATAAATGTAACCTTTAGACAATAATACCAAAGTAATAACTACGCTTCTCCACTTCCATTAAAATCGTCGATGAAATGTCATACAGAACCGATGGTACTTGACTTTTTGAAATTTTATAAGCAGTAGATACTGGAATGACCAGTTTATAATATATCAAGATGCAGCATCACTTATCAACACTCTGATTTCCTCCCTTTACCGAAACTTGGATTTAAACTTTTCTCATTGCATACAAAGTTCAATGGCAAAATGTACTGCCAAAATGATGGAATGTTAATTGGTAGTCCATTTAGTCCTGTATCGCCAGATATTTTTATGGACAACCTTAAACAGATAAAGCTTATACGTGCAACTGATAAAACAATAGCCAACTACTGATTCACAAACGACACATTCATTGTATTTAGTGCATAGTACCTGCTTGGGTTATTCAGCAGCGTAAATGAGAGCATTATTTTCACAACGGGACACGAAGGTGATGAGAGTTTCCATTTCCTGGATATTAGCTTGGAGATAAACAAAATGGAACACTTGAGAGACCAGTTTATCTCAAGAACATGTAGAGCGGTCTTTACTTAAATTTCAACAGCTTCTGATGAGTCAGCTATAAACGAACGATGTTCTGAAAGACGAAACTAATATGTTTAGCAGACAAATTAGACGCTGAATTCATATCACCTTAAAATTACCTGACAAAAATGACTAGCCACGAAGTTTCATCAACAAATACAGCAAGAATTAATGAAAAAATCGTGAAATAATTACAACCATCAAGAAGCTGATTTTCATTCAATTTGACTTCAAAGGTAATGATATTATGAGAATGATAAATAAACGTCCGGGCACAGGGTTTACCAGAACGTAACCTGCAGCAGAACTAGTCGCTCTACACCAAACATCCCAATCCTTTGTAACGACAAGCAACCCTCATATGTCGTTTCTAATTGTGTAGCTGCAGGAGAAGTTACATTGTGAGAGCAGAAAGAAGGCCCTATATCAGATTTTTTAGACATTTACCAAAAAGCCTTGGATTAAAGGAACCAGATAGCTTGAACTCATCATTTACCAAACATTTTATACACACATGAAACTGAGTGGAGGCACTGGGAGTATTTAAAATAGTTAACAGGGAAAACAGCCCTAGTCTTCTTTGGTTTGCTGAAGCTACCGCAATAAAACGACTGACTGAGACGTGATCTACTTGTTCAAGAGAAATCAATCGTATGGCTTTGGTTGCCTTGGCAGCTGTTCTTCTTCTTATTATTATTTATTTCTCTCATGTCATTCAGCCATTGACTTTCACATTAGACTTAATTTTTGACCCTTTGAATTATGTTCACTGCAATCTGAGATAACCTCATCATCCTTGTGTCTTGTTTCAACATGACTTTCTTACAAGAATCTTCACTGGAGCACTGATTCATGATGATAAACAAACCACTGTTTTCAAATGATTAAATACCTAGTTTTATTAAGTATTATAGCTAACGAGAACCAAGAAAATGAAATGAATCCATATTATTCTGTACCAAGGTTTGTTCTATCTCTGTTCATAATCATAAGGGTAATTCATTTGTCTAGAAGTAACAATTGAAATATAATCAGTGTAATAATTTAGCATCTTATCAACTATGGTGAATCATTCTTAAAAAACTCTCCCTTTAGAGATATTTATTAAATGAAGGAATAACACCATTTACTTACCTTTCATACATGGTTTTAACTTTCTAATTAGAAAAGAAGCGGATTTTAACAAGGAAAAGTGAACAGCATATAACATTTCGAAATATCTTCGTATTTCTTGCATTCAGCTTATCTTTCCCTTAATGTTAACTTTTCTTTAAATCCCAGCACATCCTGGTACTAACACATTCACTATATGTGAAGTTTTGTTAAGAATTTCGTTACATTTATTCAATTTATTTTATATTTTGACCGAAACATACAAAAACTGCTTAAATCACAGAACTTTTAAATTCTGAAAATAAGTTTTCCGTTCTAATAGGTTGCACGAAAAACCAGTTTGTGTACATCAGAGTAAACACTGAACGTTGAGTATACTACAAATAAGTTTGATCACAGATTGATATCAGCCAGAGAACCATTGAAAACCAGGTGACATTCGACAGTTGCTTCATCCTTCCTCTGTAGTACGCACCAACTGGGTTCCGGGCCCAGCACCTTACGTTCGCAGAGGAAGCTCACAAACCATTCAGCCACCGAGACCTGACTAAATGGTCCAGAAATTATAACTTCCACCAATTCCTGATTTCAGCGCATTTACTAGCCAATGTCATCAGCGACTATTTGTTCTCACTACCGGCCTAGTGAACCCCGCCGGTTACGACTTCCCACGACAACTCCAGGCAACTTCATCCTGCGACCAGTCACTAGAAAGTATAAGGTTGTAAATAACTGAACAACTGTTACACATGAAACCTTAGAAATGAGTCTCTTCATTAAACCATTTCTTGTCTCCTTATAATCAAGTCCTTATGTAGGTGTTTTGGGAATCAACTCGTCGGTATTCTGTATGTTAAATTCCCATGAAATGAATGAATTTATTACCACTCTAAGATAACTGCCCGATTTACTGAACTCACTCACTTTATTATCATCTTTATTCAATCATAGGTATTCTGTAATCAGCTTTCTCATTTATAACATTTTAACAAACAGAATAAAATACCACAATTTGCTGAAATATAACTACATGTTGTAGATTATTTGTAAAGCAGAAATTACGGGTCACTGAATTCAGCTGATAAGTGTTGGCCATATTATTTTTTAGAAAAGCTCAATCTATAATTAAGAGATAGTAAATTTTGAAACTGGACATCCTACATCACAATGAAATGAATTACGCAGAGTCAATGTGCTAATCAGTGAAGGTTGCTGAAATTACTCCATAACAAATAAACAATTTTTCTGATTTTGATCGTCTGAAGATAAATCCAGTACAAACTTAGAAAGATGAATAAGGAATGTGAAGTACTAAAAGAGCCAGATTTATAACCAGTTCATTATCCGCATTTTTTTCAATGGTTTTATTCATGTGGCAGAGTAAAGAAGCTGAAGCCCCGTAACCACGACACATACATAGCTCCTTTGAGTAGCTGGTGGAATGTAGGGCTACATCTGCATATCTCCATTTCATCCTGTTCTGTGAAGACCATAGGCTGTCAAACGACCTCCTCCATACCATCTTCGAACTCCCAACACATCGTTTCACTTTCGACTTCTACTGCAGGGCCTGGTGGTAGATGTCACCCAACGGTCTCCTCACAGGGTGTCCAATCCATCTTCATTCCTCCTCCATATCTGTCACATGAAAGGTTCTTGAGTAGATAGTTCCAAGAGTTTCTAAATACTAGACCTTTGTGGCCATCTGCTCCTCAGTACGTAGCTGGAGAAGGAGGCAGCTGCTGATGACAGTTTGAAGCAGTCTACTGGAAATGCTTTTCGTGAGGCACCCAGTTTCTGACCAATATAGAAGAACTGGCTGACCTGAAATTGGTGTTAAAAACCCGAATGTTTTTCTCAATGCTTAGTACTGAGGACTTACACATTGATTAGATGTGAATTGGTTAAGAATGCGATACAAAGTAGCAAACAATCTATTCAGTAACTTTCCCCGAGGATGTACACCTATAGATTGATGAAATGAAATTTCTTGTCCAACACTAGCCCCAAAGACCAATCCACTGAATCGATCACAAAATGGGAACTGGATTTGTGATGCAATGGAATATTAACAAATTATGAAATACACATATTTACGTCATACTCCTTTAATAGAGTGAGAATCATCGAAAAATTAGGCGTTATTTAAGGAAAAGAACAGTAATTGTACATGAAATTGATATACACAGATCATTTTGGCACACGTTTTCGAAGTCCTAATGGAAATTTTATTGTTTAAACAAATATTTCATTTTTCTATAGTTTTGGTTTGTAAGGGTTAGTTATGTTTATACGAGTTGATCATGGATTGACATCAGTTAGAGAACCATTGAAAACCAGGGAGTACTGGACAGCTGCTGTGTCATCCTAGTTTGGGAATCATCGGCAGCACACACCCGCTGGGATTGGAACCCAGGACCTCCCGGTTACAACGACAATGGTTGGGGTCACGCTAAATCACGGATTGGTAGAAGTTAGAATTCATGGGCTGGCCACTGAATCGGGTCCCAGTGGCTGAATGGTATACGAGCTTGCCTTGTAACCGGAAGGCCTTGGGTTCTAACCCTGTTGGTGGGTGCGTACTGCCGATGATTCCCAAACCAGGATGAAACAGCAGCTGTCAAGTACTCCCAACTGGTTTTCAATGGTCCTCTAACTGATATCAATCCGTGATCAACTCGTAAAAAAATACTTCATTCTATTATTAGAACCAATAATGCTCGACACACCATATAGAGAAAAACTTTCACAAAATCGACCATTCTACTCACAATTTGTAAGTAAACAAAATTTCACTAAAAAGAGTAGGAACAATCACTTAATGGGGAAATTATTCAGCTCATCCCTATTTTAGAAGTAAAATGACACACTCAGGAGATAAATTTGTCCATGAAACCTTACTTTGCGTAATAGAAAGCTATTCCAGGAGCGTATTACCCATAAAGTTAAATTATTACCTAAATATAGTCAAATTATTCATGAAGTAAGTAAATTTAGACGATATGAATTAAAAGAAACTGTATATAACTATTAGAATGATGTAGGAACTCTTCCGAATAGTCTGCTCTTCACTTCAGTCCTGAAAATGACAAATTATCACATGCACCACATATGACAAGGTTTTTAATGTTCACTTACTTGCTATTTTTATACTTTATTGACACAATGAAACTGATTAGAAAATATTTAACAGCGAGTACAAGAAAGGTAATATATACTAATGATAAAGGCGTTAACATTACTGAAAATATTTCACCGTCTGAAGAAATTTGTAGTAAAGGTGACTGGCTTATTCACACTGAATCCAGTATAGGTTCAAATGATACAAATCAGCATGTATTAATTAGTTACAGTCATGAAGAGAAAGATGTGGCAATTAATTTGGTTCAATTACTACAAGAAAAAGGTTACAAGGTAAATTTAAATGTGTGTGCTTAAAAATTTTTTATCATCATTTTATTTAAATTGTAGATATTTCCATGAACTTTAAGAAACTTTTAAGACCAAATGTCCTTTAGTTATTGTGATTTAGAAATATTAGATGTCAGGTTACGTTGTGTAGTACAAACATGCAAATAACAACCTATTTTCGCTTGCTATTTACGACAGTCACTTGATTTTCGTCACGAACCAAAATCATTTAGAGAGATCATTAAAAGACAAAGACTAGTGAAGGCTAATTTGTCCCACTTGGGACTCACCATAAGTATATACTTTCAGACAAGCCCGGGATCGAACCCACGACCTCCAGTTCTCTTTGATTTTTCATCATCTCAACTAATTTATGTCCGTTAATGAAGAAAATCTAACAGTTGAAATTAATTCAAAATTCTCACATATCCTACAGTCTGAATATCACTCGCCAACTCACTGATAGTTACTGGATGGATTTCCTGAAGCCATAGTAGGTAGTCATGACCAGAGGGATCCACCATGTCAAGGTTGATGTCAACGCCGAAAACACTGATACAAGCAGCCCCAGATTTCAGCACAAATGGCCGAATAATCAGCAAGCTTGGTGTCGTAACTTACCTAGAGGTCCTGGGTGAGGTAGTGGTTGCACCCTGTTAAGGAGTCTCAAAGTAAGACGAAATAGCTCTCCAGTACTCCTTGGCTTTAATTGACCTCTCTGAGTTACTCTGGTTCAGGATGGAAATCTAAGAGTGGATATTAATCCAAAATACCTTCAAATCATTTAGCCAGAATAATGTTAATCATTTGTTATCATACTTTACCTATGACATAATTAATTATTTATTCAGTAGAAACTAACTCACTGGAATCACGATACAACTGTAAAAATTACTAATGGCTTAGTTTTATTATAATCTAACACAATTCTCCACTTCAGCAAATTTGTTCTAATGTTACTTGGTCCCGCAGCTTAGATGGCTGTAGCAAGTTTTTTGATAATAAGGCTCTGACTAGCTTCCAGTTACCATGCATCAGTTGAATTTGGTGACTATGTCCATACAGGAATGCAACAACCATACTGGTTTATGAAACAAAGAGATACAAAGTTTTTTTAGTTTCCTTAAGAAAGCACACTTTGTTATGTTTAATTGAATTTTTGATTTTCCCGTCGATTGATTGGGACGAAGTGTTTGGTCTCAGGTTGACATGTCGGCTTCTTGTGCAGATGCTTCGACGATGTCTGGAGATTTGATTTGCATACAATTGGTGGATGGTGGCTAGCAGTGGAATCCAGGATGCGCATTTCGTCCTAATTGGGACTCGTCAGCTGGATGTACCTGCATTTCTCAGTGAGTGATGATGTTCCCACCGAGGCTCGAACCCAGTGCCCACAGTTTCAAATGCCAAAGCGTTATCCATTAGACCATTTGGGTCACGAGAAGTACCTCTTGTGCAACGGGCCATATTAATTTAATTGAATTTTTGCAGGCACATCCACCTGACGAGTCCCAAATAGGACGAAATACGCCTATTGGATTCCACTACTAGTCACCATCCACCAATTAAATGCTTTGTTATACTTTGAGGAAAATACTTCTTCACTCGCGTAATTTCAGTATTATTTCATCTTAAATGATTACAGTTAAAACAAAAAATAGTAGAAATGGGTGAATTAATATTTTTCACTTGAATCTGTTTTGATGTTATACTCATACAGGTATGGGTTGACTATAAAGACATGCTACATGAAATTGACATCATGGATGGTATGGCTAAAGCTGTGGAGAATTCATTTGTGGTTTGCATTCTCTATTCAAAATCTTATAAAGAAAGCTTTAACACAAAATGTGGTAAGTTGAGTAATGATATCATAGATGTTTTTGAGAAGCGTCAGTGGTTCATAGGTGGAATGTTGACCAAACCCACTCGTTGTAATAAGTCCAGTAAAGAGAGAAGGTTGGACATGAAGCCAGCAACCCCACCTTGTAAAAACAACAGCACCACTACTAGAACTCCGAAGCTTGGAGCTTGAGGCTCTATGTTCCCCTTGAAAATGCAAAGGAATGAAAAATGAAGTTTCTGAGAAAACTAAATCAGTTGGAAGATCTCTGTTCATTCAATACTTCCTGTTTGACGCAAGCCAGAACTGTCAAATCCCATAAACAGTAACTAACTACTGCAGTGTTCTAGAAAGTTTCAACGCACTAGGGTGATAATGAAATGAAATGCATGAGTGATTCTGCACATAGACAAACTTTGATCGAAATTGTTCATTTCAGTGACTTATATCAAAGGCATTCATCCATGACCACTGACTAAATTATTATAACAGAGATTCTGTAGTAATTCCTGTATACGCGGATCGAAGTAATAATTGAATTAATGAAATGGTAAAGTCTACTAGACATTTCTGTAATCATTAGTATTTCCCTTTGCATGCTAAGACATTTTTTGAGCTAAACCTTAGAACTAGATTCATACACACAAGTCAAACATACAGTGAGTACAAATGGTCACTTAGTCAAAGTGTATTAGAGAATTTAGAAAATCTTAAAATATGTGTTGTTTTTTACTACATCTACAAGCAAATGTCTCACATATTTCGATATTTAATTAGCTTGATAAGCTTATACAAGACTGTGAAACAGAGCAAATTTCGCTTTACTTAAGAATTTTTATCCTCACACCCAACGGTGTGGACTCCACTGATCATAATTTCTCACCCGCAGACCAGACTTGGCCTTCTAGCCAGTCACTAGTGAGCATTAAATAATTTTTAAGAGTTAATTTTTAAGGATTTGATTTGTTTCAAGTTTGATCTTGGACTGATATGGTTTTTCTATAGTTTAGTTTGTAAGGGTTAGAGAATGCTCTATGAGCTTGTCTTGTAAAAGTGAGGTCCTGAGTTCTAACCTCATTGGGTGCGTACTAGTGAAGGGTCCCAAACTAGGACGAAACAGTTATCCCGGTACACCCTAGTTTTTAGAGTTTTTGTTTTGACAACAGCATACAATTTGAAAGAAATTACTGAGTGACAAAAATTGGGGGAAAAAAGGAGAAAAGCAGGTTTTTGGAAATAGTAACTGATGCTTTGACAAGGAAATTAGGATGTCACAAAGCAATAGACAGAGATACAATGAATTTTGTCAAATGTTTCACATGTATATAGAACTTATGTATTCATATTAAAACAAATTTCAGTCAGTCATTCTGGAGGGCAACACATTTATCAGGATATATGAGTATTGTAAGATAATGTCATAATCTTATGTTTACAGACAGGATTTATGATGTACACACTTTTTCGGGGCTATCTAAGCAACCACTAGATGACTTTTCAGCATTATGTAGACTAAAAATATCCTTAAGTTCTTCACACATATAATTTCAGTGGTAGATGAGATCCAATTCACTTTTAAGTTAGAAAATGAACAGGGTAATTTAGACTGTGGCAGACTGTAAACAGGATGGTGGGTTAGATACTAGTCTGGTGGTGTGATAAAGACAATGAGTTCCAACGAAATATTATTCTTACAGGGAGAATCATTGTATTTGTTGGTGTTAGCTTCTGCTGAACACTATTCCCACAGTTCAGTAGTGCATTAGCAACACAATATCATGTATATATTTGAACATTCGCTTTCATGCCACTGCATAAAATCAAAATCACACGCTCAGTGATTGGTTAAAGAATATCATACGTAAAGTTATAAGTAGCAGTTTGATCAATTGAAAATATACCTTAGCTTCGGTGTCTTGCCTTCTGATGTTAGACTAGTACCTACAGTAAACCAACACATTCTAATAAGTACTTCGAATTTCAATCCTGCCACCGAAAATAGGTAATAGTTAAAGTCAAGAATCTAACTTGTAGGTTAAAAGATGTAAAATAATGAAATCATACAAATAAAGGAAACATTACAAGGGAATGACCACCCACCAGATTTTATCCAAGATAAACGGAGACTCATAAGGAAAATAAGTACGATAATATAAATAATGGAAGTAATAAGGAACTTAGAGCTTCAGTAATACTGCCTTATAAAGAAGGAACATCAGAAGTCCTAAGTAGATTCTCAATGTCTCTGGAATTAGGGTGGCATTTACATCAACCAAATCACTCAGAGGAAACCTTTGTCGGCTTAATGATCCGATAAATTCAATTGAGAGAAATAATATAATTTACCAAATATCTTGCTATGACTATAAGGCCAATTACACAAGTCACACTAGTCGATGGGGATCAAGTAGATTATCAGGATACAGAAATCTAGCTAGACCTAGAATGGTCTCGCTTTTATAGGTTAAATACTTTAGATAAAAAACTCAGACCACACAATAGGATGGAATGGGATGACAGTATTAAAAAAAAGTTAATACAGTTAATTGGAGGTAGGGAGGTTAATCACTGAATCTTTGTTCATCGAATCAAAACCAAACACGTATAGTCGGAATGACGCAGTATCTATTCCGGATATATGGGAAATTTAAATGAATAACAAGAGAAAGAGAAGAAATAGACAGAGCAAATTATGACGTCATATGAATACATTGATACGATTTGGAGCAATAAATTGTTCTCAAAACGTAATCCAGTCATTTATACTGTATCCCAGCCGCTTAAATTACATTACATTATCTAATATAATACATTTCGTTGTAGCCTTAAATATTTCACAATTTATAATCATGGGTTTATCAAATCTCATTACTTGTTCTCTCCACTTTTAGAGGCTCAATATGCTTATCATGAAAAGAAACCGCTAATTTTTCTACGTGTAGAACGTGGATATGTTCCTAATGGTTGGTTAGGCTTTATGATGGGTACACGTTTGTATATCGACATATCTGGAAAATATCCATTTGAAGAGAAATTTATTGATTTATGCCAAAGAATCGATGAATATAAGCAGATTTCAGACGATCAAACAAATTATCAGTCTCAGGATAAAATGCTACAGACAGTATGTTCACACTTTCTTTGTTTGATCAATTATTCCGGTTGTATTTTGTTTGCATTTTTATTTTGTTTATTATTTTGGTTCGCATTTGCTTCGTAGGCTGTCTATCAATTTGTTTTTAAATAACCTAGTCAAGAAATAACGTGGGCGGAAACAAAATAAGTGGGACATGGAAAGTAGAACTGCTTGGGAAATGCTTATTTGGTTTTTTTTTTAATAGTGGGTTGTAGAATCTTGGTTTCGCCTCACTTAGGAAACATCAACTAGATGTGTTTAAACTTTATTCAGGTAGTTGATTACTTTTTCTACACTGGAGACTATCACATCTCATCTTAAATCTCTAGAATTTTATCCTACAAGCAACCTAGTCAGAAGATAGTGACCACTAAAATTTTCCCTTCTTTTGGTTTATTTGTTCAAAGTAATCAAATGGGCGAAATCCATTTTATCTGACTCACAACACCCTCTACATTCACAACTCTCCCCATGTATCTCTTCAGGGAAAACAAGAAGCCTATATAGGAAACTATATGCCCGCACTAGTAAGTACAAAAACTCATCCATACCCTACCTAGCTCGTGTTCTCTGCGATAAAGAAAGCATTAGGCGTGAAACCTTTAACTTATTAAATAGTCAGTAGAACCAATGGATCTCGTCTTTCCAACTCACATCATTTATAGGTACAACGTTTTCTCGCTCTTCATTCTGTATTTATTTTTGTTATGTGCTGTTTTGTTTCTCTCTTCCTTGCAAACTCTACTTAAAACATTCTTGTTCGTTCTTTCACACTCTGTATATCTCGACCATTTTGCTATCGCTTACGCCAGTAAATATGCTAGTAGTATCTACTTTTCTAACACCTTCAAACACTTTAATTTTGGCTTTGCTACCGACATACTAATATGTTGTTGTCAAAACTGACTGAGATAACTTTAATCTATGTAGAACTTTATTTATTGTTAATGTAAAAACTGGATGCAATATTGTAGTAAAATGCTGAGAATTCCATTCTGTATCACAAGTACTGATTTGGAATAAAGCTTATGTTATGTTATGTTAAAAATTGTAGAAATGTAAGTATAGCTTCTCATGATCGATTAAATGCTGATTAAATCTCAGTTTTGATTATGTTTTGGTAGATACTGAGTAACACTGGCAGTCACATTTCCTATTGATTTCTAAAAAAAAACTTTTGTTTGACATATTACATAAGGAAATTCAGGCTTTCTGGCCTAAATAAATCTCTCCTCTTACAGAGGTTAGGACGCTCGCCGACCATCCACAAGGTTCGGGGTTCGATCGCCGGCCGACGCACGACTAAAAGCATTGTTTGATCTGCTAGATTTGGGCTACCGATATCAGATGCTTATAATTCCATAGTTGTACCAAAATACTGTGTGGAATCAAGCTTAAATCAAAATAAAAAATTTTAGAAATAAAAAATAATAAATTCACGTATTCTACCAATTTTTCTTTATTATACCCTTCTTATTCTTCATTGGACTGTTCAAAAAAGACTATGTTATATAACGTAGGACTGTGGAATCTCTAAGCATATTTAGTGGTGTGCCTATGACCCCCAACTAACCTACATTGTCGTTGATAGTCATGTTAACTCATGTTGGCCGAAGTAGTATCGCTAAATATTGAAAATCCTCTTGATATTCGCAGCTTTATTCTTGTATCTTTCCATAGGTATTTATGCACTCACGGCCAAGTATACAAGAATTCAGCCACACCTGATTTAGGGCCGATGTCATGTTGGAAGACGTAAATGTTAGAAGACAGCTTATAAAGCTACTTAATAATAAGTATTAGTTCGTAGGGATTTAATGTGCTTCAAATTTGACCACAGATTGATGTCAGTTAGAGAAGCGCTTAAAATCAGGTAGTACTGGATAGCTGCTTCGTCTTATTCTGGGACCCTTGAAAATTAATCTGATGTTGTCTAGTGACCGGTTAAGGGACGAAGTTGCTTGAGGTTTTAGTGAGGATTCATAAACAGTAGAGGCCACCTAGTTGAGTTTGAGAACAAAAACTTGCCCATGACATTGGTTGGTGTTAGCATTAAATTGATGAACTGTCAGGAGTTGTAACTTATGGGCCACTCAGTTGGTTCTTTTTTCATTTCTTGACGTTCCCAGTGGAACATAGGGCTTCAAGCTAGATGATTGAAGTTTCTGTAACAGTGGTGACTATTTTTACAGGATGTGTTTACTAACCGCATGCTCAACTTCCCCTATTTACTAATCTTACTATCGGCTTAGCAAGGCGTGAAAGTGCGTCGTCCGGGGTCGAACCACGGACCACACGCATGGTCGGCGAGCGCTCTACCGCTGCGCCACCGTCGCACACATTGAGCCGGGTCCCAGAGGCTAAATGGTCAACGAGCTTGACTTATGGCCGGAAAGTGCTGAGTTCGAACTCCAGCAGGAGCCTGTTGCCGAAGAGCCCCGAACTAGGACGCAGCAACTGTCCGGTACTCCTTGATTTCCAGTGCTTCTCCAAATGGTATCAATCCATGGTCAAACTCAGGAAATAATTTATTTTTTACCGTTTTTATTATCATTACAGTCCTAATTATTTATTAATAAACAAAAATACATAAAAAGTTATAATATGTTTAATTCTGAAAATTCCATTTTAACACTTGTGAATTAATCACTTGTCTACCAGCGACTGACAACAGGATGAAGTTGCCTGGACTTCTGGGGAGAAGTCATAACCAATGAAGTCAACCAGGTTCAGTGTCAGGATAAATACTCCCTGACCACATTGTCTGGTGGTAGCCTTAAAAAACCCCTCAATTGACAGAAAGTAGAATTCATGCACCGGCCAAATTATTCCGGCCCGTAACCAGACGTTCTTGGTTTCACTCCCCAATAGTTTCATGGATATGTACTGTTGGACAGCTACAAACAAGGTTGGAATAACTGGCCAGTACTTCCTGACCTTGATTAGTTCTCTAACTGATCAATCCGTGATCAAACTTGAAACCAGTAAAATCCCTAGACACTGACACTCAAACATAAAACATTATTTTTTAGAATAAAGGTTTTACTACAACTGTTATTCAAAGAAATGAAAAATAGAAAATTACAGAATTTCCAATCACATTCTACTTCTATTTTATTATTTATTTATTTATATTTTATTGTAGCTTGATTTCACACAGTATTTTTGATACGAGTACGGAATTTTCAGCATGTGATATATATAGCCCGAATTTAGGAGGCCGACCACTGATATCAGGTGTGCTTCGGCCGAGGATTGATCCGGGGACCACGTGGATGATCGGTCAGTGTTCTAACCACCGTGTCACCGAATGTTATCTTGTGGAATTCGTAGATCACAACTCTTTCATTAGTTTTATGGTTAACATTCCGTGAAATCAGCGTTATTATTAAAATAGATATCAGGCACGCAAAATGCTTTACCTAGCACCAGTATTTCCCTAGGCGGCCTACTTAAATCACTGGGCTACTTGAATTCGCATCCAACACAACCCATCATATTCTCGCTAATTCATGTTGTTTTAATGACGCAACTATGTCTTTGAGTAGCAAATGTACCCTCATGCACTTTTTAATTGGCCTTAAAACTAGAGGTACGCATTTCTTGGAAATGAAGGGATTCATCTATGCCTCAGACAGAACAGTACTGAGTCACGTGGTATACTGTAGATTGCTACTTTTTTACTTGAAGGTTCAATATGAAGAGGAAATATTATGCAATAAATTAAGCTGACAATTCTGTACATAAAATTCACATCTGTTCAAATGAAAAGCATTTTCAGTTTTTTACATCAATCTTTGTTCTGTTGATAAAATATTCTTATGAAGATTTTAAATAATCTAATTTGTAATGGTGTTTGACTTTTTGGAGACTAAAAATAGCCCTAATTACTTGTTAATGCAATTTCTAGAAAAGAAGACTATAAAATGTGTATTTCTCAAAACAAAGTTAAAAATTCTAGAAAAGAAGCGCACATTATTGCATAACGAATAATCAAAGTTTACTGCTAAACGTACGTGACAATGGTAACTGTGAGAAGATCTTATCTTATCTTCTGTGTGACTAAATCACATCAACTGATGTTGTAACTGTCATTTAGGATTAACCATTTGAAATGTCAATTATAAATAAGCAACAACTTTATTCCGGACAAGAAGTTTTTACAGTTTACAGAATTCTCAACGTAATTTACTGTATAATATTTTCACGAGTTGATCACGGATTGATATCAGTTAAAGGACCATTGAAAACCAGTTGGGAGTACTGGACAGCTGCTGTTTCATCCTAGTTTGGGAACCAACGGGAGTACGCACCCAATGGGATTCGAAACCAGGACCTTCCGGTTATAAGGCAAGCAGCTGTCCAGTACACCCTGGTTTTCAATGGTTCTCCAACTTATATCAATCCGTGATCATTTCGTAAAAACATAACTAACCCTTATAAACCAAGCTATAATATTTTCACTTCGTCGAGAATCTTCAAGTAAAAATAGCGATCTGTGTTATATCATGTGACGTATCGCTGTTCAATTTTAACTACAGATTAATCCCCCATAAGATATTTTTTCTTCGCCTTCAAGGCATGCGTATCTGTAAGTTGAAGGGTAAATAAAAATACGCGTGACTTCATTTTGCGATTCAATCATATATTTGAATAGTTAAAACCATTTAGAATTATAAAAAATATGAAGCAGCTTATTGGATAGAAATTCAGGCAGCCTAGTGATTCAAACGGGCCGCCACTAAAAGTAATATTTTATATAGAAAGTTAAGAAAGACTAACTACGACCTGTGGTTTTTCTCCTGCAGTTTATTCTTCAAAATATTTTCGGGTACAAATTATTTTATTTCTATGTAGAGAAGTCATACTGAAGGGAAACTGCTGTAAAATGTCTCATGAATAGCAAGTATTTTACCGTTTTTTAGATAACGGCTTCTTCGAGTAGTTTTCAGTTAAGGATAACTGGAAAGTTCTAAAATAGGATGAAACTAACTTCTTCGATTTGACTGCAGATCGTAGTGGTTAAGTGAACCTCATATTATGTTACAATGCATTGATAGCAACTCTTCTTTTGTATGCTTCTTATAGAAATTGCGCCCTAGAATCCAAACCGTTACAACTACTTTAAGTCATTTGAGTAGACACTTTTGATGTTATTTGGGAAATTTACGGAGGCCTTCGAAGTGAGGACGGGAGTGAGGCAAGACTGTCTACTATCACGAATGATCTTCCTGATTGCAGTAGACTGGATAATGCAACAGACAACGGCAACCAACGAGGGAACGGGCATAAAATGGACTGACACAAAAGACTTGGAGGACCTGGATTTCGCCGATATATATGTCTGATTTCCCACAAACTGGAAGATATGCAAGTGAAAAGCAACAAGTTGGCGGAAGAAGCATCAAAGATAGGACTTCAAGTGAACATAGATAAAACAGAGGTGATGAAGATTCCTAGCGGACATCAACAGCAACAACAGACAACAATCAGCATAAATGGGAGGAACCTGAAAGAAACAGCCTCCTTCACCTACCTGAGAAGCATCGTTTCAACTACAGCGGAACTAACGAGGATATCGAAGCCAGAATCGGAAAAGCAAGACAAGCTTTCATTACTCTCAAATCTGTGTGTAGGTCAACAGCACTCACCATCAAAAATAAGATCCGGATTTTCAACTCCAATGTAAAGTCAGTGCAACTATACGGATCAGAGACTTGGCGAGTCAAAAGAACACCTCAAACAAACTTCAAACCTTCATTAACAGTTGTCTTCGCCAATACACAAGATCAGATGGCCAGAAAAGATCAACAACAGGGATCTCTGGGACCGAACCAACCAGGAACCGATTGTAAAACAAATAGGCAGGAAGAAATGGAGATGGATTGGCCATACTCTGAGGAAACCATCAAGTGACATCACTAGACAAGCCATCGCTCGAGTGGAAACCGAAAGGGAAGCGGCGAGTTGGTCGTCAGTGCTAGGGTGACTTGGAGGAGGTCATGCGAGGAGGAGATGAAAGCATGTGGACAGACTTGGAGCGGGGTGAAAAAGTTGGTAGAAAACCGAAGGCAATGGAGGTGTGCAGCTGAAGCCCTATGTTCTCTAGGAACTAAAGAATACAATAATAATAAATGCATTGCTTATTTTCCAGTATAGCTACATTAACTACTTCTCATTTTACTTCTTTCTTTTACTGCAGGGAGTTGTACAAGAATGTCAGTGTTTCAGTGGTTGACTTCTACTGCCCATTTGCAATTATAAAACAGGATGTCTTATGTGGTTGATGAAGCATTGAAGTTATAAAATAAATTTCATCACATAGAAAGACACTTGACATTATTATTAAACATTTTTTGTCATCTTTATGTCAACTAATGCAAGAAAGTCTTCTCTATGAGATGATTGCATTTTATTTATCATGATTTTCATTCGTTTCTTGTGGATTTACTTTAATCAATTAATTTTTCATCAAAATTTTCTCTTTTTAAATTACTGAACTACATGAATTTAACTGTATAATCTAAACTATTTATATTATTTGTATACAATTGGTGGATGGTGGCTAGCAGTGGAATCCAGGATGCGCATTTCGTCCTAATTGGGACTCGTCAACTGGATGTACCTGCATTTCTCAGTGAGTGATGATGTTCCCACCGAGGCTCGAGCCCAAGTGGTCTAGTGGATAACGCTTTGGCGTTAGAAACTATGGGCACTGGGTTCGAGCCTCGGTGGGAACATCATCACTCACTGAGAAATGCAGGTACATCCAGCTGACGAGTCCCAATTAGGACGAAATGCGCATCCTGGATTCCACTGCTAGCCACCATCCACCAATTGTATACAAATCAAATCCCCAGACATCGTCGAAGCATCTGCACAAGAAGCCGACATGTCAACCTGAGACCGAACACTTCGGTCCAATGAATCGACGGGAAAATCAAAAATTCAATTCAATAATTATTTATATCATTATTATTCCCTTGAGTTGCGAGTGGAAAATAGGGCTTCAACAACACATCTCCACTTCTTTCTATTTTCTGTTGTCCTCTACAGCTGGGCGGACGATTGACCATTATCTCTTATCTCCTTCTCACACGATCTCCTCGATGTCATCCTTGCACTGACCACCCACTCATCGCCTCTCATTTGTATTCCACTAAAACGATGGCCTGTATTGAGCGTGATGTCATTCGGCGGCCTTCTCAATGGCGTACGCTCTATCTATCTCCATTTTCTCCTACATATTTGCTGAGCAGTTGGCTCTTGGTTGGTTTGTTCCCACAGTTTCTTGTTGCTAATTCTCTCTGGCCAGCCTTTTGATCTTCACTGTGGAGCCAGCGAAGGGAATCTGGTGCTAATGAAAGTCCACAACCCATTGGAAATCCATTTCGTCACACACACACACAATGCAAGTATCTGACCAGTAGAGAAGGGCTGACTTGAAACTGATGTTGAAAATCCAAATCCTGTTCCTTATGGTCAATGAGAAAGATTTCCACAGTGGTTTTAGGTTGATGAAGGTTTATTCTGAGTTTCCCATTCTGTGACTTGCTTTGACATCTTCATCCGTTCTGACTGCCTGTAGTTGGAAGGATATTTCCTAGATAAATGAAAGAGGTAACCTCTGTTAAATCCCTCCCATTGACAGTGATTGGTACTGTATATCAAATAAAAAATGTTAAAACGCTTAAACTAAGTTGGTGAATACGCATTCATACAATCAAGTGGAGAATCGATCTATACTGATCAGTTTATATGATTTAAGCTTTTGAGTTTTATGGCTCTTGTCAACAATTTATATGCTTATTGTCGAGTAAACCGCAAACACGTTAACTAAAAGATTACCAACAGATTCAACTCTAATTTTGTAGGCATACACTGATAAGGATTGCCAACAAAAATCAAGTCCACATCAGGTTGGCCTGTCTGTTAACTAATGTCCCAGTGTAGTTAGTTACATGGCAAACGCGATAGAATGCTGCCAACCAGAATCTATGGGTTACTTGTGTGAAACCAGTGTCGTTCTTTTGGGGCATCACTGAACACTGGCAAATTTCATTTTGCTTAAAAGGCAAAATGTCGGTTAGTCCTGATTTATACAATAATCATCCAAAATCCTGACGTACCAGAAGCCTGAGTTAAAGTGAATACTAGTTGCATTCGAGTGAATAACTAATTGCTAAAGTAAAGCATAGCTATCCAGAATCCCAGACGCACTGATGATTTTGAACGCATAATGTACTATGGCCCCACAATGAGACCTGTGCACGACCTGGGACGCAGATTTCATCCTGATCTCGTTTTTAAGTAATGTTTCGATAATGGGTTGATAGCACGTTAGTATTACGGTTAGAATAAGGGACAGAGTTGGGACTAGAGTTAGTTTTGGAGTTACGATTACTAGTGGAATTAAGGTATCCATAATTATAATCTTTATTTTTCTGGCAATTAAACGGCATTTTCAGGTAAAACAAAAACACCGGTTTTTCTGATTGGTGGCTCCAAGGCCAGCCGTGCGTTCGCATTACTCGGATCGCTAATTAGTCGTCCAATTAAAATCTAACTGATAGAATCTGTGTAGTTTTTAAATACTGCTTACTTTTTAAGAATTCAGTGAGTTGATCATGTGAATTAACTTATGAATTATATGGATAAAGGTGAGTCATTCAGTTAAAAGGGCAATGACTAAGATAACAAATAGGAAAATGTTAGATAATAGTCGAATGGTAATCACTTGCCATTTAGTCGGCTAATATTCGTAATCAATCTAAGTGTGATCGTGACAAAAGGATTTATTACTTAAAAATATGGCTAATAAAATTGTAATTAGCAATAAATTGATGACAATATCTATGCCTGAAAGGTAGTTTGCAAAGTAATTAAAAATCTCATGCCAAGTGTTAAATAAATTGATTGAAATTTTTTATTAGGAGAAGCATAAGCTCATAAGGCTTGTTTCAACCATTGGTTACTTCAAGTTTAAAAGAAGGATGAACTCCTATGATACGTTTTGGAAAATTAGATCTCCCAGAAAGATTCTAGACTTAGTAATTATATTTCTCTTTATGTGAGTTTTTGAAATAACAGTTTTAAGACCTGATTCAGGACCTGTCAGCTAGACGTCTAACTTACGTCAAACTTTAAAACGTAAGCGTACCTACCACCTGACTTCATCAAACCATAGATCCTAATATTGTCTGCTGTTGAAAGTCACTCAATGTACATTTCATCCCTACTTACCCTATTTTTTATACTGGAAGAAGAGTTATTTTCGAAGTGACGTAAGAGGCAGATACGCTAAAATTCACTATTGATATTTGAAGACTTTGAATGTTAAACCATGGGATACAGGCTATCTGAATGAGTAATACAGTGCTGCCAAAATTACTAGCTGTATGGTATAATTGTTACTACTTAGAATCAATTATGGTAGCATAACGCCTTACACAACTTATCTTCACCTGATTCATTTACTGTTATTCAGTCCTTTCTTATCGTATGGCCTGATAATATTCCCTTAGTTAATCTTTACCAGAACCATTTCCTCCATTGGTGAACACATTCAGCATGTGTGATTTTGAATTTTAATGAGTAAATTCAAATGCTTCATCCTCAGAGATTTTGTAAATTAGCTTTTGTATACGAATATACCTATCCTTCATAGGAATTACATCACGGGGTAGAAATTTTGATTACTAATTCCTCTCTAACCATTGAATTCAAATTAAATTATTATTATTCCCTCAGCTTCTGAAAGAAACATAGGGATTCACCAGAACATCTCGTTTTCACCCTGTTCTCTGTGGTCCTCTGAAATTAGCTCCACGAATCCCCATTAGCTTTCATCCTCTCATTACGTGATCTCCTTCCCGTCAACCTCGAACCAACGCCCATCTTATCGTTTCCCATTCAGATCCCATTTAATTATTTGGCGTGAGATGTAACTCGACGATCTTCATAGTGTATTCCCAGTCCATCTCCATTTATTGCTGTTGGGCGAAAAGTTCTTATTTGTTTCCCTAGCAGATTTGCCTTTTGCTAAATCTTTCAGGGTATTTAATCTTCCCTATGGAGTGAAGGCGGTTGCTGATAAAAGTCGCCTGTTGAAAGTGCCTTGCGTGACACGCCAAGTCTGTGGATTACACAGAAACACTGATTCGAAATTAGTCTTGAAGATCCGAATCTTATTCTTTAAGCGGAAAGCGGCAGACAGAGATTTTACCTTCTTATATAAAAGTATGATCTCATTGTCTTGAATTTTTGTTCAGTTAAGCTAAAACTGTTTCGCAAACAAAGAAGTAGTATATGCATAGCATTAAAGCACTCCTTACCAACTAGACTGCTTCATAAAAATCAGTGAACGTATAAGATTCGACTGAAGTGAAATGATGGGAGTGTTGTACCCCTTAATAACTTGAGGAATTCTGTTCTGGAATGCGTTGGTATATAGATAATACAGAGACATGTAACTTTCATTTCAGTAAAGCCAACAAACATATTCAACACAATATCTTCTTAAGGTTACTTTTCTGATCGTGGATAGAATTGAAAACTCCTGAGGCATATTTCGTTCCCTATCAAAGCTCTGGTAATACTCAAGTAGATAAATCAACACGAAATTATAAGTTTAAATAGATAAAATGCCTTTTTATCACCCTAGATAAAAAGTCAGTCTTTCTATATGGGTCCGAAACTTATTATTATTATTGTATTATTGTATCCTTTAGTTCCTAGAGGAACATAGGGCTTCAGCTGCGCACCTCCATTGCCTTCGGTTTTCTGACAACTTTTTCACCCCGCTCCAGGTCTGTCCACATGCTTTCATCTCCTCCTCGCATGACCTCCTCCAAGTCACCCTTGCACTGACGACCAACTCGCCGCCTCCCTTTCGGGTTCCACTCGAGCGGCTTGTCTAGTGATGTCACTTGATGGTTTCCTCAGCGTATGGCCAATCCATCTCCATTTCTTCCTGCCTATTTGTTTCACAATCGGTTCCTGATTGGTTCGCTCCCAGAGATCCCTGTTGCTGATCTTTTCTGGCCATCTGATCTTGAGTATTGAGCGAAGACAGCTGTTAATGAAGGTTTGAAGTTTGTTTGAGATGCTCTTTATGACTCGCCAAGTCTCTGATCCGTATAGTAGCACTGACTTCACATTGGAGTTGAAAATCCGGATCTTATTTTTGATGCTGAGTGCTGTTGACCTCCACACAGATTTGAGAGTAATGAAAGCTTGTCTTGCTTTTCCGATTCTGGCTTTGATGTCCTCGTCAGTTCCGCCTGTAGTTGAGACGATGCTTCCCAGGTAGGTGAAGGA